TATCTTCAGGCGTTTCACCGGTTAGCTGCTTCTTCGGCAGAAAATAAACGCCGGTCGTACATCTAATTATAAGCATATATTAGTTATATTAGATAGATAAAACAATAATTTTATTTTTGTTTATCGTTATTACCCAAATTATACATGTTTCCAGATTCTCCATTTTGTTTGCTATTTTTGGTGGTGAACAGCTAACTGCATGAAATTGGTTATTGAGATGAAAAACATGTACGTATCCGCTTTGTCCCGACCTTCATCAACAAATTCTATTGGTTTAGTGCACGAATATAAACACTTGAAATTTATTTCACCGCCACCCAGAGGGCATTCTCCTATGTTGGAAAACTCATTGAGGAACTGACATCACCAAGTTCTTCATCGGTCATCACATTGTAAACAAACTTATCAAACTATACAATGCCATTACTAAAGCTGAGAGTAGAATTGAGATCAGAAATCAAAAAATCACCGTCTCAATACAATATATAGTATATATAATCAGGGCTTTAAATATAATAATGATAGTTTCCCGGGATAAAGATAATATTTTTGAAGTATTCATTCAAATTACAAAAAGATTAGAATTGAGGATTTCATTTTACTGCAAAATGGCAATAGAAATAATAGAAAGTAAGTTTTTTAAAAATTTGATAATCCAAACCTTTTTCCGACGCCCATAAACCCGAGCTCAGATTCATGAAGTTCCGACCACTCAAACATTAACAAATTATAGCATTCTGAAGTGAAATCTTAATGATTGGATTTTAGTCTTTTTAATGTTGCAAATGTAAACATGAATAGATAATTATAAGATTTATTAAAAATCAAAAGCCCCGGAGTAAGCATAAAATGGAAACTCAAAATCTTAGAAATCATACGAAATTATTTTTATTTAATTCATATTTGTATCATACATAATAACTTCTTTTTAATATGAATACATACTTAGTTTATGTTTTTAACAGACATTTCTTTTAGGATAAAAATTCTTACTAAAATTCACACTTCGTATTTTAGAAACCCGCGAAATTTCTAGTTGTGTAATTACGAAACTGTATATATAGAACTGATCCAAAGACAGACCAATGTGTGGTTTAAAAAAAACATTTAATAAACTATTTTAAAGCTCCTTAGAATAGACCTATTTTTGCGGTTTGAAATAAATTTGTTATACTTAAATATGCAAATAAAATATCGATTAATAATATTATTTTAAAATAACTTGATGAGTGTTTTGAATACCGCAAAATCGACATTCTGAACAGGTGAGCTATTTCTTTTTAGTCCCTCAAAATCTTCACTCTAGCATCCAATCAAGTCTTTTTTTGATTTCCTCAAGATTCGATTGATCGTTTTGAAATCGTCAGTATTTTCTATTTCTATCTAAATTTTCGTAATATTGCAAGAATTGGTTAAAACTCCGTGATATCATTTTAATTTTTCGACTCTCAAAGTCTTTAATAATAAATTACGAATTATGTATACTCAGAAAAAATTTTATAAACAAATCCTTTCTTACAGTCAGGAATTTTCAAAAGTTTGCAATTGACAAACCTTGTTATTCTTATATAAATGGTTCTTTATATATCGATGACCGTCTAACAGCTAAACTACACGTTGTAAACAATGTGATGTACATGCACACGTAAATAAATTATCGCTATGCATACTTCGCGTTCGTTACTAACAATGCTATACATGTATATGCAAGTACATGTATCGGTATAGCGATAGGTCACAAAGAAACGAAATGTGTGACTAAGTTTAAACTTGATTTTTACATATATATCCAAATATTATGCATATAGAATGGAATGTAACAAGGAAGAAAGTTTTCTTTGTGTTAATGCCTTTCTGATAACTTGTACATGTATAGCAATTAGCAATAAAAATGCATAGAAAACTTCTTGTTCTTTTACGATAATAATTATCTTTGTATCCAATACGCTTAAAATTTTTCAACATGGCTTCGAATGCTACTAGACCGTCCAACGACAGCCATTCACTTTTCAATGATACAGCCTACTCAGCTGCTAAAGTTGCCTTCGATGTTGGTGAACTGGTACCGCTTGTGGCAACCGCTTGCACAGCCGCAAAAAAAATTATAGATATGGTAGAGACTGCTCAACGTAATAAAACAATCTGTCGACATTTATCAAAAAGAATTGAAAGAGCAACGAAAAGCATAGAAAATTACCCACCAACAGGAGATGTAAGCCCGGAGGCATATAAAAATTATATAGAGATTTTAAAAGAAGCTGATCGGTATATTAGTGAATTAATCAAACCGGGGAATTTTAGTGAGAAATTTAAAAGATTTATTAAAGGCATATTAAAATCGAAAGAAGTAAATTTGATAGATATATTTTTACTTTTATTTGTGTATTTGAATTATGATGTTAATTGGAAATTCATCTTATTTATTATTAATTACTTTACAGTTTCTAGAATATTATACTGATTTGGATTCACGATTAAATTCGGCAATTCAAGAACTACAGTTAGAGCATATTCTCGATGCCGACAGGAACGTGAAAAAGGTCATGGAAAAAGTGGATTATCTTGCAAATTCTGTTCAATTAGCAATGTTATTAAAAGGTGCTGATTTCAACGAAGATAATAATATATATATTAAGCCTTCAAATGTTGAAGAAGAAGAAGATCCGGAAACCAGGGGAAAAACTAAAAAGATTACAAAAATGTTTTTGAGTGGGGGCATCGCAATAGCTGTACGTAAAGTGCAGACTTGTGATCAAATTGTACGAACAGCAAAAATTTTAAATTTATTGGGAACCTGTAAATATATCGAGACCTTGTAAGTAGATAAACATACACGTGCTATCACTATCGTCCGAATAACGAAATCTCAATTAGCATTTGATTTATTAGTCATGGCTTGATGAGAAAAAATGATGAATTATATATGGTGACCGAATGGGCTGAGAATTTCAATCTCGAAAAATATCTTCGTTCAGACGTAGAAATTAAATGGCAGCAAAAATTAAAGTTCGCGGCAGGTATTGCATTTGCTCTCAGATTTTGTCATGAACGTGATGTTCTTCACCACGATGTTAAAAGGTAATTTGAACGATTACATAATAGAAATGTATTAAAACAACGAGATTAATGTAATAATTCATTTCACTCATTTAATATTATTATGTTTTAAAATATTTAGCAAGAATGTATTATTAGACGAATATTTGAATGTGAAACTTAGCAATTTTGATATGGCACGCTTTTCTACCGACAAAATGACGACATCATTAACTGATACAATGAAGAACATCAGGTAAAGCTAATCGGTTAAACGTATTGATTTAATTTTCAAAGTGATAAATTGAACTTTATTAATTTTCAAAAATAGATGGACTGCACCCGAGAAGTTAAAACAAACCTATGTTCCTTATTCCAAAGAAATGGATGTATACAGGTAAAAGAATATTAGTGTTTATAATACTATTTATTATTGCCATTTAAAACGTAATAATCGGTTTATCTAAAGCTTTGCAATAGTGATGTGGGAAATTGCAGCAAGAAAAGAACCATTTTATCAAATAACCGATAATATGGAACTTCGCGATAAGATTATAAAAGGCGAACGTCCATCACCAATCCCAAATGACATTACACGAGATTATAGTATGATAATGAGATGGAGTTGGGCTCCATCTTCTCGTCCTACCATGCGTCAAATATCAAGTGAATTCCATTTGATTTCTAAAGAGTACGAAGAGTGTAAACCTCAATTCCATCATAATAATTCTAACGTTTCATTTTCTGAAAATACATGTGATCCGCTTCCAGAATCTGGTATGTTATCATTTATTAATTCCATTTCATACTCCTCGATTCGAACATTAAATAAAATTTTATTTGTGTCAATATTTATTATCCTTTATTAGAAGATTTCGATTTTAAAGCTCACATTAATGAAGATGATGAAGATGAACCTGTCAGAACAGATATTATGCCAGCATGGAATGAAGTCCTTAAAGCTTTTCAAGAAAAGAACTTCGAAAAGGCATTAGAAGGATTCGAATTATACGCTAAAAGCAACACTGACAAGAAATTAGAAGCCAGCTATTATGCTGGTTACTTGCTATACAAAAGACCTAACGGCGTGCGTAAAGATGAACTTCACGCTTTGATTTACTTACGTGAAGCAGCAGAACATTTACCAGCTAGTAATAATGCTTCCTCAGCTCAATATTATTATGCGGATATATGTCTAAAGGGTGCACTATATGATCCAGAAAACGGTATAAAGTATTTAAAGAAGGCCGTAGACGCATCCTATCCGAACGCTTTATATTTGTATGGAACTATTCTGTTGAATGGTGAACATGGATTAAAGATTGATGAAGTTAACGCTAAAGAAATGTTTGAAAGAGCAAAAAAACATGGCCATAAACAAGCGGAGATCATGTTAAGAAAAGCTAGGTCTTCGAAAGTTGCGAAGCAAGCCCAAAATTAGATTATTTGGAGTAACTTGTACATGTACATGGTATAACTCTAATTTTCAACATTAAATTCGTCGATCTCACTATAATTCCTTCGAATTTATATCGATATTTATTTCTTTATATGGAAGACAATTGTAATTGGTTGTATCGGTATGGTTTGATCCCGAGCGTGGTAAAACCAAAAATTCCAAATATAGAAAATAGTATTTAAACTTTGAGAAAATTCTTAACCGGTTGGAAGAGATTAATGGTTAAAGTTTAACCAGTTATGATCATTGTGAAAAGGGTCCAACTTATCTCGATGTTTTTAACCAATAAAACATTACCGTTACGTAAAATTTGCGTAATAAACGATATCTTCAGTTCATTGGCCAATAAATTTCTACATATGGACATGACGCAAGTCAGCTGTAATACATCTAGTTGGGCGTTTCATTAATAACGATTTTTTCTTTCATGTATTTAGCATAAATATGCCACAATCCTTCTTTGATATGTAAGCAATCAATCAAATCAAAAACACAAATTATAAAGATGCCAAGTACTTTATGGGCCGAAATATCATCAAATTTCTTTGAAACAAAAGCAATCATACCTTTAACGGAAAATAATCTTTTACTATTTTCATCGAATAATCTTTATATATTAACTGATGAAGAAAGTTACGAGAAAGTAAATTCTAATTGGTCTAGAAAAATAGCAGCCGCCACCAAACTCGAAAACTTTGTCTATGCAATCGACGAATCTGGGATCTTATGGAAAATCGATCTTTCCACATACGTGTATACACCAATTGGAGGAACAAATTCCGAGTCTGGATACTATACCAACACAAAAGCATTAGTATCTTGTAAAGGATATATCCTTGCCTTTTGTGACTACCTTTGGAAAATATACCCCGATGGTAAATCTCAAAAAGTAGGTACCGATTGGGGAGACACTTGTGCTGCTGTTGTTTTCGGTGATTATGTTTTTGCCGTGACAACGTATGGCAGATTGTATCGCATCAGCTTAGACGATTATAGTTATGAAGAAGTGAGTGGTGGATGGGATAATACACGGGCCATTCTGTCGTTTAGAAATAATTTGCTCGTTTTTATGGATAAGTTGTTTAGACTTGGTTCTGGTTGTAAATGGAAAAAGTTGAGTGATGATATTTGGGAGGGTGTTATTGTTGCTTCTTGTGCGACGGATGAAGCTGTGTATGTTGTTGATAATACTGGGAAAGTTTATAGGATCCAAATTTTAAATTGAATTCATTGATTATATTATGTAAATTTAAAGTACTTCTTAATAATTCCTTCTAATTCATTAATTCTACTTTTGTAGCCTTTTTTCTTCTTCATCTTTTTGTAGCAAAGTCTCGTCTGATAAGCAGACAAAAATAGCAGTTTTGTTCCCTTCCTATCATACTTACATTGAGTCAAATTTAATAAAAAAGTGAAAATTTTTACTCGTATTCTACGTTAATTAATTTCAAATATTTTTATCATTTACCATAGTTTTTTCACCAATATGAAAATGCTTACTTTTATAATTAAATTGATGTTTCGCGAAAGTATAAAATTTTTCATGCTTATGATGAAGATATTATATCTCAATACTGTTTTTTTAATCTAATGGTGAGGTATGCTTTACACATATTTACTTATTGCTTGGAAGTGAATCAAAAGTCCCGACATCCCTATCCCGACAATCCAAGTTCCCGAGTCCCGACGGCACAAAATGCCGATTGTCCGAATGGCTCAAGGAAATGAATGCCTAAATCTGTCTAGGAACACTAATTAAAAATGTCTGGATAGCAATTTTATATATAATCTTGTCCTCTGCCCTAATCGTTATCCTTGCCATTCGTGATTTTGGTATCGGGATTTTGAATTGTCGAGATTTTGGACTTTGGGATATTGGACAGTCGGGGGATTTTGTATTCTTCGGGAACTTTAGACTGTCAGGATTTTAGGTGTCGTAATGTTACCATCACAATATCTTTTTCTTATATAATTTTTACAATATGTTTGAAAAATATTTTGTAGCAATGCCACTATCTTTTTTTTTATGATTTACTAGGTAAAATGATTTTAATTAAATCGATAATATCAGTAATTTCTTTTCTAATTTTGAATTTAGAATAGTAATATGATCAAAAAATGCTAGATTAAGTAAAACTCAATAAATTAGATTATAAGATAGATATGAGTTTATGGTAAAGTTAACATTTTTCATTAATAAAAATCTATAAAAAATGCTCTTAATTTTTAATTTACCGTATTTTCGCCCATGGGCTTTATTTCGAAAATCGTATCCTTTAAAAATAGCATACATAGTTTCAAAATCCCGAAATAACGTGCACCCCCATGTAACATGATAAACTTGTTAAATCGCATTTCTTTTAATATAAATTCGTCCTCAGTACAGTCTCGAAATCTTTATTTTTGTTTTCGCTATACTTGAACCCGTATCCAACCGATTTTATAATATAAAGAAGCATGGCAGTTTAATATAACTTCTGTATATGAAATTAACTCAAGTTTAAACGTGAAATTGTAACTTCATTTGTGCTCATGTTCACTTTTAAATAAAGTAAAAAACCTGCATACGAAACAAATAACGATCACATTTAATATTATGGATTGTTCGTCGTATAATACAAGAAAAAGAGACTTAACGAAAATGTAAAGCAGAACATACACACCCTTACAATATATTACCAGAATTCAAAAAAAAATAGTAAAACACAAAATTTCTTTATATATATAAGTTTTAATTTTTTTAATTTTATTAATAACTATTTTTATATAAAACAAAGATAATAACCTATGTATATTTAACATATATTTTTTTGCAAAAGATTGGTTAAATGCAAAGTTACTCTAATTAAAATACAAAATTAATAGTAAAAAATTTTAGAGCAACTTTGGAAATTAGAGAAACTCTTTAAAAAAATCTGAAAAAAACTATAGGTTCTTATTTTTGCATTGAGATAAAAATAAAAATTATTTATAATAAAACTTTTATATATAGAGAACCTTTATATATAGAGAAAATCTTGAATTTTGCTATGTATTACTATTTTTTTTGCAGTTCCAGTAATATATTGTATAGATGTGTATATTAGAAATTAAATTTATTATAAAATATAGTAAAATTAAAATTATTCTTTATATTAAACTTTATAATTATTAATAAATATTTTTTCTTTTTATAGCAAGAAAAGTTATAAGTTATAATTTAATATTAATTTTTTCAGATTTTTTAGATTTTTTCTAAAAGAATTATTCTAATTATAAAGTCATTACAAAATTTTTTCTAATTATATTTCATTTTAATATAATAATTTTGATTGTTATATTCCTTTTAGTTTATATCTTCATTTTGTGCTTTCTATATCTTTGTATTACTTATTTTAAAGATCAATTTCACTCTGGATATATAAATAATTTAGATTTATACACATTTTTATTATTTTGCAGATAATCACTATATATTTTCTAATTATTAATTTAGCTAATTAATATTTTTAATTAGATTTCTTTTAATTAATTCTTTTATATTTTCATTTATTTTTATTTATTATAATTTATATTACTTATAACTATTATTATTGAGTTATGATTTATTACTTTCTGAAAATATGAATTAAATTAATTAATTATATTTAACTTATATATAATTTAGATTAATAATTTATTTATATTTCATATTTATTTTATTTTATATAAATAAGTTAATTCTGTTTTGAATTTTATTTTCAAATTTAGATATTATTCAAATAATAAAATTATAAGTATTTATAAATTGAATCTATTCATTTCATATTTTATCTTATTTATAACTACAAATAAATAATTTAATAATAATAAATATAATTATTATAATATTACTCACTATATCTTCAATTATATTATAATATATCTATATCTTATATTACTGAATTTTAATTTTATTATAAATTATAACAAACATAAATAACAAATAATTAATAAAATTTATAAAAGATATAATTAAACTTATTAATATAATAAAGATAAAAGTTTTTCTAATATTAAGTTCTTATCTCATCTTTTTATTAAATTATTTGTCTATACTAAAAAATTATACTTATCTGAATTATGCAAGTTAAAACTATTTTTTATTAAATTATCTATCTATTCTAAAAAATTAAATAAAAATATACTTATCTGAATTATACAAGTTAAAACTATTTTCTTAGCTTAAGTTATTATAAATAAGAAAATATAAATATAATATATTATTATTTTCTTGATTAATTTTACTTATATTAATATTTTAATAAATTTAAGATAAAAAATAATAATATATTATATAATAAATGAGAAGACTTTGTAATTACTCTTAAAAATATTTTTTATTAATAATATCTTTACTATTGATTATATTTTCTTTATATATAAAACTATATATTAAATTTAAAAATTAATTAAATAAATTACAAATATAAAAGATCTAAATCAAGTTTTATACTTCATAAAAAACTTTAAATCTATTATAAAAATAGAAATTAGTTATCAAGTATCTGAGAATTTAGAAGATATCTAAAAGTTAATTATTTATTATAATACTATTATATTGTTATCATAGTAACATAAAATTTCTTAATTTCATAATCTTTTTTTGGTTATGTGAAATTTTATTTTCTATAATTTCATAATTTATCATATAACTATTTCTATTTTTATATCACATATTTATTTTTATTACTATATTTATTTTTATTACATTTCTATTTTTAAATATTATATCTTATTTTCTTTTATTTAAGATCTATATTTTTGGGTTATATATTATATATTTTTTATGTATATAGTAGAATAGTATATTTGAAAATTATTTTTAATTTCTGATGAAATGATAATATTTTCATGTTGACTTTTTGAAGGTCAGCAAAATATTTACATAAACATTCACAAAAATATTCACACAAATATCCATATAAGCATTCACATAAATATTTATGTAAATATCTATGAAATATTCACATAAATATAATCTCAATATTTTTAATATTATAATAGTAAATTATAGTTCTTTATAATAATATGTATATCTACTTTCGAAACTGAATGAATGGTTTCTTTTAACCCCATCACTCTTTATTAAGCAACTCTCTTTTGGATTGTTCATGATTTCGCCTCATCGTGATATCGTTTAGCACTTTATAGTATCCAGGGAACTTATATTATATGGTAACCTTTGTACTACATATAGAACTAACTTGATATTATAATGTGTATAAAAACATCTAATAAAGATATTTGATACTTGCAACTAACATGTACATGTATATTGTTATTAACATTTAAAATATACATGTATATGAACAAGATCCGGATATTATTCAAATTAAAAATAAATAGCGATAGTGAAAAAGTTTCGGAATCTAAATCGCGGAGGGTGATACCTGTACACAGTTGAAGTTTGTAGACTGTTATTTCTTGTATTTAAATAAGATCGTTAATCAGAAGCTATTAATATCCAATACTTTTGATGGCTAGTAATTAATTAAACTATTGCTACCGTTAATCGATTTTCAGTACGATCATGCCATTAACGCAAATTTTATGCTTTATAAAGCAAGAATTCGAGATAATTTTTTTCTAATTTCAAAGCTATAAGTCACATTTTCTGACGCGTTAAGAGAATCATTCAAATTCATAAGGACAAAATGTTTCAATAATTTAAAAAGAAAGAAGAATTCTAAGAAGGAAATTCACAAAAATTTATCTCAAGAGAAATATCGATATAGATACTTTAAATTTAATTTATTTATATAAATATGATAAAACGTTTTGCATTATCTCATTAATCACAAAAATATGTGAATTTAATATAAAAGTTTCACAAATTCCGAGAAGGTTTGCAGTTATGCGGGTGCGGCATCACGTTCTCTCACGGGTTTGAGTTTGAGTGTGGGATCACGTAATCTTCCGGCTATAAAAATATTTATAAATTTCAATGTTTACACATTTTGTTATTTATATAATAACAACAAAGCACGTACCTTCTCGGCAACATAAACATCTCTAAAGATTGCAAGCACCGCCAAAAGACATAAAAGATCTTTAAAACAGGCTTCATTTTTAACTTTTAGGTTTTGCAAGTTTTTACTGATAAAAATATTTGTTAGTCATCGTTCATTTATCAGAAAACACTTATTTACATGTACTATAATTTAGTTTATTCAATACGAATATTTTTTACATGATATTCATTGAAAGTTCCCAAATATGAAAAGGATTATTATACCAAGCTGAATCATACTATATTTGGATATTATTATAGAGGATTATTATGGCAAGCTCATTAATTGAAAAAAAGTTACGATTGTAACAAATTACATAATTTTTCATAAAAATTTGATAAAAAAATCCTTTGCCTATTAACACTCTCAACTTTCTTCTTAATTCTTATTGATTCAAGTTTCTTCCTATTTCTTATTTGTTCTTATTCTTTTGAGATTGACTTATAACTTTCTATTTAATTTGGGCATTGCATGCATTTACATATTTGTAAAATACACAGAAATATACGAAAAAGTATACAACCATCGTCTGATGTGGAAAACCTTTAGGCGGAACTCCAGTTTTCCTAAAATACCCAACATACGATTTTGCTTGCGGCCAGTTAAATGATTTAATATAGCTTCAAATTCGCCAGAAATCATCCCCTTTCTGTAACAGTTGAGTTAGTTATTTTTATCTAGAAAAGCGACTAGTTATACATCCTTTCTACAAAAAGTGTACACATACCAATCTTATATTAAAAATTTTCTGTAGCAATTTATTTTGTTGCAACAATTTATTAAAATTTTAGTAAACTAAATATATTGAATAATACCTAATGAACCTTTCTAATTATTAGTATTTAACCTATTAATGCTTGATATTGTTCTATTTTGCTTTCATAATAAATTTAATAAATTTTAATTCCAATAATATCAATTTATTTAATTTGATTCTGAATATAAAGATATTTATTTTTTGTAAAAATAATTGATTATCTCGATTTAGTTGATATCATGTTATTAAATTTGTCTTAGCTAAATATTTAATAATAAATACATCTAATTTATAAACACAAAAATGTTTTAATGTAAAATATAAATCTTTTTACAGTTTAATTCTATGGTGGTGGTGACATTGAATAACTACCATAGTAAAAAGGTTGTTGATAGACGGGTGCACGTTTTTCATGCTCAGCTACAGGTTCGGGTGCACGCTTTACGAGCTCGGCAACGTCAGGTGAACGTCTAATGGCTATAAAACATTGTTAACTTTTTTATGCTAAATGGTAATAATAACAATAATAAAATCATACCAATCCCGGAAACATATGTATCTTGAATAACAAGTACAATCAAAAGACACGAAAAGATCTTTAAAATCGATTTCATTCTTTAAATTGGTTCCGAGCTTAATTTAATAACCTTTCCACGGAGTAAAAAACAACTATATGATGATGATTCGATAAAGCTTTTAACAAAAATATATAAAGATAGAAATAAAATTGATTTTTTTATCTTTTTATTTTTCACCATAGGACATTTCGTCTATTTATCTAATTTTGGTTTATTCATTACCATCATTAAAATTTAAGTGCAGTCTTATTGTCCTATTCATATTTGGGATTTGATGCTTTACCATAATAATGCACGACAATAATCCTTATTCAATGAGGGTAAACATGACATGTTTTCCTTTCTTCTATTAATTTGAGATGCATGAACATCATACAATTTTTGCAGTAGCTATATATGTCTGTTACTGGTTTAATGACTATTTAAAGGCGCCAGTTAAATCCGGATCGTAGATATTTTTTTATCCCTGATAAAGTTGTGGGAAAAAGAATGAAATTTCCCAAGATGGCCAATACGAAAAACACAAATATAATTTTTGATGTTAATCACAAAATCTATTTAATGCATAGGACACATTTTACATTGCCATAGATATACTTTATAAATAAAGTTGTGAAGGCATCCAGAAAGTTGATTTAATGACTACTTGAAATGCACCAATTAAATCTGGACTTAGATTAGTTTTTATCCCTTTCCACTTATAGGAATATTGTGGCTTTTACAACTTCTATTTAATGCATGGGACATGTTAGAGGCTTAAACCAATTTTCATGAAATAAACAGCTCTAAATTTGAACCCGATTTAATTTTCTTGAATTAAATCCGGTTTTATATACAGTTGCTCACCAGATACGAACAGGTAAAGGTAAGACAATTTAATTCATTAATATTTTGGGTCACCAGCTTTACTACAAACGTCGTTTATTTATCTGAAAACACCTTTATTCTAAGCTAATTTTGGTTTTATTCATTACTATTACTATTTATATCTATCATTAAAAATCTAAACAAATGATAAATATAGTAAAAAAGGTTCGAAATCCAAGTACCGAGGTCTCATGCTGGTGCATCATGACAATAATCCATTTAATATTTGGAATCCTTCATTCAAATAAGATAAACATGTTTTTTCTTTTCTTCTCATGCTTCCCTATTTCATTTGAGCATGTTTATAAAAATATGGGAAATCTTTAGGCGGAATTCCTGTTTTTAAATGTTTCTGGATTACTAAAAAAAAAATTCCAGTTTTTTAAATGTTTCTGAAAAAAATTTACATATTACAAATTTTTGCCCATGGAATAACTATATGCGTCAATTACTGAAATGCACCAATTAAATCTGGATATTAGATATTTTCTTTATCCCCTTTCTATTTGTAACGATAAAACTTGTTGCCTTACAACCTTCTATTTTATGTATAGTAATAAGACACGTAAACAGTTCTACATTGGGAACTATGATACAGTGGCGATCAAAAATAATCAAATAAATATATCGCCTATCACAATCATTATTAGTATGATTAATGATACAATCCTAAGTTTTAAATTTTTTATAACCACCAAATATATTCAATTTTTGGTGTTGCATTATTATTTGTTCTTTTTGAACAAAATAAAAAAAGTCGGTAAAAATTCTAATTTTTTTTTAAAACTATTTATTTTCAATTTAGATTACCACCTTGTATAGCCACCGCGGACCTTTATTACATCGGCAATTCTTTTCGGCATAGATTCAACGAGACAGACACATGTCTCGACATCAGTATCGTTCCACACGTCCTGAATTTTCTCCCACAAATCCCCTCTCCCCGAAATCGACCCTGGAAGACGGCGTAAACGACGATCGATGATATTCCATAGGTGTTCAATGGGATTGAGATCCGGAGATTGCGGCGGCGGCCAATCGAGAACGTCAACTTCGTTATCAACGAACCATTGACGGGTTTCAATGGCGGTATGTTTGGGGTCGTTATCCTGTTGAAAAACGACATCATTTAGCACATAACTAAAATTATTAATAGTTTCTAAAAGATCTTTTGAAAGAATTTCCCTATATAACGCGCCATCCATTCTGCCATCAATCCTGCCATCAATCCTGCCATCAATCTTACAAAGATTGCCAACACCATAAGCAGTGAAGCAACCCCATACCATTATTCCCCCACCACCAAATTTAACAGTAGGTTTAATGTGTGAGCTTTTTAATGGTTCCCCCTTTCTTTTCCGATAATACTCGCGTCCATCTGACCCAAAAACATTAAATTTTGACTCATCTGACTAGATTACTCTTGTCCAGTCTTCTTTGGTCCAATTTTTATACTTTTCTGCGAAATCAAGTCTGCGTTTTTGGTGTTCTTTTTTCAGGTATTATGGCTTTTTGCGTTTTATTCTTGATACTAATCCATAATCACTAAGTATACGATGAATAGTGGGTGTAGAAATATCCATATTTTCAGTGATTTCGAACTTCAACAGCCGTCGAGCATCTACGGGAGAGGATGAGGTTGACAATTTTTCGTTCCAGTTTTTCATTTATCATATGTGGACGACCAGGCCTGCCGGTGTCAATGAGGATGCATTTCTCCTGCCATTTTTGCTTAATACGGGTGACAGTGGAAGCGCTAATATTTCGTCTTCATGCTATTTCCCTAGCACTATAATCTTTCTCGAGGGCAATGAGGATTTCTGCCCTTTGTTCCGGTGTAGTATGGCGTTTAGTTTTTTTTGTGTATCCCGAGAAGCTGCTCCATTGAGAAAAAAAACAGATCAACAAAAAACTATCTATTTAATTGCGTTTGTGTTTCTTAAATATGTAACACAAAAAACGTCAAAATAATGTAACACATGTTTCACGAAACTTATATATATTTCGTGATCGACAACTAAAAAAATTAAAAAAGATAAAATCATATTTAATTTAACTATTAAATTACCGTAATTAATAATTTAATTTAAATTTTATTAATTATTTTTTGAAAATAACTAAATTTAAAAATTTTTACCCGTGTGTTGCATTATTTATGATTGCCACTGTACATGTAAATCCGGTTTTAGAATGCCCCATACAAATTTGCCTATGGAATGGAGTTAGCTATATACGATCATTTGGACTACATGTATTTGGCATTCACCAACTAATTTAGATATTTTCTTTATTTATCCCTTTCTAAATTGTGCATTTACAAGTTTCTATTTAATGCATAGGACACGTTTTACATGCAAGAGGCTTAAACCAATTTTGGAACCAGATTTAATTTTCTTGATGTAAATCCAGTTTTAGCGTTAGATACAGTCGCTCACGGAAAGCGAAAAAATTGGCGAGATACGAATATTTTGTCATTGAGGGAATATCAACAGGTAAAAGTAAGATGATTTAATTCGTTAATATTTTTGGGTCTTGAAGTCCCAAAAATTATATAACATATTTCTTCTAACAAGAGTTAATAATTTTTCATTCTTTAAGTGTTCCGCTTAATATGACTATTTGAAAGGCGATCTTTAAAATTAGCAGCAACCATGTACATATCGATATACATGTAATAAATTTTTGGCATGTGTACAACCTTGCACAGTAATCAATCGCAATTTTTCACAAATCTCCGCCGTAATTGCATGCTGTAACGAATTTCAATACTTGTATATTAGTAGACCGTATTAACATATTTACTATAGAAAATTTAGTTTTGCATGTTGCATAACAATCATTCTCGATGTAACGAATTTTTGCTGATTGAATTTTACTGCAAATTTATTGCATGTACATCATTTTTTAACAGCAGCACCTATTTGTTACAAGAGGAAATTTTTTAAAAATACATTCGTTGCATAGAGAAGAACTGTATGTAATGAATATAATAAATTCAGTCAGTGAATCACGACATTCGTTGTGATATTATATATAAATGAATATGTGATTTATGCGTGTTCATATTCTTAAATACAGCGTGACAAAAAATCTGAATTTGACACGCGAAAATAATGATTCACTATTTCACAAAATACATGTATATATTAGAAGGGTGAAAAAAATTAAAGTGATAGCAATATAACGACCACATTAAATTAAACTTTCATGCCTTTGTTTGCTACCAAAGATGTTCGGTTAGTTCAATTCACCATTTAAATATAATAAAATTTGAAAATTTAAATTGTATGTACAAATGGTCGCAATAAAGATCTTACTAATGAAGAATCATTTTTGAATGATCAGCCATTAACGTTAATGTCAAAAACTGTATTAAAGAAAAAAATAGTGGACAAAAATTAGTTATTGATGAACGTTCTGAACGTTTAATTCTTTGAAAAATTAAAGTAAATCAAACGATGAGAAGAATGTCAAAACATCTGCTTGTTATTAAAATATTATCTAATGATATATCTCCACGTACTCTGACAAGAAGTTTAAAGAAAAATTATATCAAATCCAATATTGCATGTAAAAATCATGGGTTAACGAAATAAATGATTAAACTAGATTAATTACACAAAATTTGACCAAAGAAGATTGAAGATGCATTCTTTGGATGACGAATTCTCTATCAGCACTAATTCATATGGAAAAGTTCATGTTTGTGTTATAATGATGAGCCTTATGATTCAGAATGCACACAAAAGTAGACAAAAATCCTATTATGAATGGTGAAATATTATTTTTAGTATAATTTATCTAACGGTTATGGTTGCAGATGAGGCAATATTTCAAGAGAATAATGCACAAATTTACAAGAGCAATCATATAAAGGAGCTTAAAAATAACCTTGGAATTACGACAATGGAGTGGCCAACAAAATCGCCAGTCCAATTGAAAATATGTGAGAAGAAATTAAATATTGGATTCGTAAGAGCCATATTTGCCACATGGAATGCTATTACATTTGAGAAAATCCTTTACTTTATAGACTCAATGCCAGAACTTGTTAAAGTAAAAAGGGAACATTCAACTTACTGTCATCGCACTCTTGTATTTATAGAATAACAGCATTCATATTAAATAGGCTGCTATCCACTATTTATAATAACGAATATCGAAAAATAAAAAAAATGGTACTGCTCATGACGAAGCCATGTGATAAAGCTTTAGAGATATTTTTATTTCAATAAATTTTAATCGTGTTTACTTTTGCAGCTGTAATAGCTATGAACAAAAATTATTATAATGACTGTGTTGATATGAATATACATGTATATGTTTAGACTCCAATGGGTAGCAAAAATAGCAAATTATGTTTATATTATCACACTAGAAATTAGTTGGACTAAAAAAGTTATAGACGCAAAAAGGGTCGAGAGCTATGCTGAATGATTTACGCAAATTGAGTTTCACTGGGGTTCCAAAGATCTACGCCAATCTACACGGAGATTCAGCAGAGGGTAGAGGTAAAGTATGAAAATAATAAAATTTAATTCAATAAAGTAATGACTGTATTTATTAACAAAATATAAATATATTATAAAAATACATAGTAAATATAAAAATTATTATTATAATAAGAATTAGTTCATAATACTTATAATTATAGTAAATATTGGCATGATTAAAAAAATAAGAATATATATAATAATTATTTAAATTATTACAAATGAATTTTTACTAGAGCAAAAATAAAGATATCAATATAATAGATAAATATAATAAAATTAATAATAATTATGATATAATCAATAAATATAAAATTATTCAAATAAATTCCTTTTAAAAATTAATAATATTAAATATTTAGCAAAAAAAAATATAATATTATTAGATCAATCTGAAACTGATTCAAATTAAAAATTATTATTTTGAATTATTTTAAATTAAATTGAATTCAATTCAGTTAATATCTAGCCTGATCTAAAAATTTTATTCAGATCAGATTATTTTTAAATCTGATTCAAACTGATTTAAATAAAGTTTTAAATAATTATAATTATAAAAAAATTATTATATATAATACAAACTATGAATTTTGATATGAATTTTTGAGATTTATATTAAATTTTATAACTTACTTCTAATTTTATGACAATATTCAGTTTTGATTTTTTGATATATAATCAAATCTTAAGTTATATCTTAAAAAATATAAAATACTATTATATAGTAATTCTAAATATTTTACTAATATCAGTTAGAGTTTTATTATTTAAAAGATTTTTAATTAAACTCAAATCTTATAAATATATTATTTACTATCAAAAATTATAATATCATTAATATATATATTCTTATTATTAGTATAAAAAAGCATGAAAAAAATTATTATAATAATTAATTTATCAAATACATATTATTAATAAATTAGTTTAGCATATAAATATAAAAACTTAAAATTTATTTCATCATTATCCAGAAAAGATATTTTGAATATTCTTTTATATTGAAAAACTTATTGAGAAATTAATATTATCATGTACTTTATTAGTTATCATCACGTTGCAAATAAACTTATCAAATTAAATAATATTATTATAAAAGCTGAGAGTAAAATTGAGATTACAAAATTATTAGATATCACTATCTTAATATAATATATATAATCAGGATTATTTTTAAATATAATAATAGTTTTCCAGAAAAAATTTAGATTTTATTTTATTGTAAAATGACAAGAAAATAAGATTTAATAATCCAAACCTATTAACAAATATTTCAATACCCATAAGTTCAAATATATAAATTTTAGATTATAAAGTTCTAAATATATAAAATTATAAATTATAACATTCTAAAGTGAAATTTTAATGATTGTATTTGAATCTTTTTAAAGTTACAAATATTATAAGTTTAAATAATTATAAGATTTATTAAAATCAAAAGTTCTAGAATAAACATAAAAAGAAACTCAAAATCTTAGAAATTATATGAAATTATAAAAAGAAAATTTTTTTATAAAATGAAAAGTAATAATAATCTTATATAAGAGATTCAATATTTAATAAATATGTATAATTTTTCTTGATATTTATATATAGTATCAAAATCTATATGTTATGTAATAATATCACAATCTTCAAATCATAGTATATAATATTAAAATCTATAAGAATTGAATCATGTTCTGATTTAAGCTTGTATAACTAATAAAATAAATTAGAACTGGCATATCAATTAACTTGATTAAAGCTTCAAAAAGATCATATGCCAATAAAGATGACATCATAACTTGGTTACAATTCTCTGATTAGCTATCACAAGTTGCAATTAATTGAGATAATATTTTTACATATTAAGGATTACAAATTAATAGACTTAATAATATTAAAAAAAACTTTTGATAATATTCAAGTTTGGTTAATAACATGATAAAATATAATCAGTATACAAAAATGTGAACAAGAAACGAAAATGAGTAAGTGGACAAGTGAATAAATAATCAAGTGAACTGAAAAGAATAACCAAGAGTGATCAAAGGTGAGGGGCAAGTAAAAGAAATAAAGTGTTAACAAGAGCAAGAATAATTATGAGCAAATGAAAGTGAACAAGACTAAGTGGGCAAGTGAATCAAAGCAAGTAAATAAGTGAAAGTGACATATAAGAACAAGCATGAAAGTGTGAGAGCATGGACAGATAAGAGATAGCAAGCGTGGATAAAGTGAATAATAAAAATAAGCAAGTAAAACAAGTAGAGGTAATGAGTGAACAAGAGCGAGGGAGGGTAAAGCTAACAAGTAGAAGTAAATATAAATAAGAAAATAAGTAGAGAAGAACTTGAGAAAAGAGTGAAGAAAGTGAAGAAAGTAAGAAGAAAGCAAATGAGATGAATAAAACCATTTATAAATAAATAAATCGTATATTTATAGGAATATTTGTAATGATGTATTTGTTTTTGAGATCCCATATTTGATATATTATGTTTGTCATGTTGGGAATAATCATTATTAATAGAGATCATGGATATCTTGCAAATGATGTAAGTGCTCTATTTTTAGTATGATTTTACGTAAAACTTTTAAAGATAGTGATAGATACCCCATTAGAATTTTGTTGATAAAGATTGGACAAAACGGATACGGGAAATCATGTAGGTATTTTCATCTCTTCTCATCTCAAATAATCAATTACATATAGTTAGCTGTTCAATATGTATAACATCACCACCACAAATAGTAAACGGAAAGATGAATTCAGCTCGTGCCATATTGAATAGATTCATGCCAGATTTATACAGATATGCTTAGAGGAAAAGAATCTGAAAAGTGAATTTGACCCAAATTAATTATAATATAAAATAAAATTATTGTTTGATCTATCTGATATAAATAATATATACTTTAATTAGATCTCCAGGATTCGTCTCCCTAGTATCAGAGACTATGTCGAGTGTTTTATTCTCTTCCAAAAGCAGCTAACCCTGGTAAAATGCTCAAAGATATTAGAAATAGAACTGCGAAACAGCTACTTGCATGGAATATGAAATGGGGCGCCATTTTACAGTGGTTGGTGCTGTTGTTAATGGTCTTACGTTTGAAAGATGCTTTTAAAGTGCGAATTGGGAAGTTGACTGTTTTTACATGGGCTTTATTATAATCAATTAGGTTGGTTGTTATGTATATAACTGTTTGAGTGCTAGTAATCCTTTTTTTTGATTCTTTATAAGATTTAATATCTACGTGATATTAAAGAATTCTTTGGCGTTACCTTCAAGATTAAACAAGACACTCATATATAACAAGAACAAAAAACATCAAAATTCTCACATAAATATAACAATAATTTTAAGAATGAGTCTAATTATACCTTACTATTAAGCTGTGTTGGTATTGGTTATAACAAAATGACCACATAAATCATAGTTTGATGCTTTTAAAGTTCATTACAAAATTTTCTTTATATTTAATGTAATAGCAGAAAATTATTGGAATGACAAAATTATTCATGCTTATAATAAAGAAAATAGTTAAATATTATAATTGTCTCCTCATCATAAAAAATACTAGTTTGCATTATCATATTATATGTATAAATTAGAAACATTCATATCCTGAGTATAAATCTATCGCTATGAATAGGTGGTTCTATTTACTGCTTTTTGTCCCTTCTAAAGAAGAAAGTTATAATTTGTGGATTAAACTGAGTGAAAATTTTATTATTAGACTTGGCGCCAGTTTTGGAAATTTTGGTATTTTCAATAATTATCATTCTAATGTTTGGGAAACAACCAATGTCTATAGCTCCATTAAATATTATGCACAACTTTATTTTTTATCTGTTCTAGATTTTTGAATTTACGCGTATAATATCCGGAGTTAGGGATTCGCTATGGGACAAAAGTTTGTCGAAACATGTAATTTCATCTTTTTAAATAGCTAAATTCAAATGCCATAACTCGTACAACGAATTTTTCTAGAGAAATAGATTTACTAATAAATGAACAAGAGAATATTGGGATGTAAAAGCTAATTCAATTTTTTCGCTTAACGTTAATCCTCGAGTAAAATTATCAACAATATATTACTGGTTTACTTATTATTATTATTCTGAATATTATTAATTGCTACCGATTATATTATTTCTACAACTTTAATCCTTTTTCTTGCTTCTAATTTTATGTCCAGCTTACTATATAGATCATTTTCATCAACATATGGCCTTTTTTTACATATTTCTTTTATGGTTCACCGTCTATTCCATTGATCGTTTTGAATTCATAATCCTCAGCAGTATTGACATCTATCATGTCATTAGCTATGCAGACAAATATAAAAGGTTAAATAAATATATAAAGATATCTTAAAACACAAGCTATAACCTATACCTGCGGAAAATTCAGCGCGGCTGGAAAATGTATACCCGTAGAAATCCTTGAAGTTTTCAAAATCTACCACGAAGCAGTTTTTTGTAACGAATCCAAAAGAATTTGCCGTCCTTGATAAGGATGAATTGTAACAAATTTATACAACTTTTTTAGCTACTACACGTATTACATGTACTTGAAATTTCTATATTAAAGAAATGTTGGAAAATATTCCAAAAAGACTAACGCTTATATGCTTTGATGATTCCAACAAGAACTTTGACATCGTTTATCGTTAG